TCATCAGCAAGACAGCCACCCATAGCTCCCGACACCGGAGCGTAGACGCCTGGACTGGCGGTCACAATACTCCCCACAATTGTTCCAATGCCTGCAATCATGTCTGGTGACTGGTACAGCTCCACCTTGTGCTCAACCATGTAATCCACGAGCTCGCTTATGGTTACACCAGCAAGTACCCTCAAACCCGCTGTGTCCTTGTTGTCCCCATCTCGATGAATGCTCACCAACTCCATCCTCGGTTCGTCCAGCAGTCGGCAACAATCCACGATCACGGTGAAGCGGTCAGCATAGGTGGCCTTTTCGCTTCCCGATGCGTGTCCCATTCCCCGCACCGACAGTTTCATTGTTTTGGCAGCACGAACAGCGCGCGAGATCTCGCAGAGGGAGCGCGGTTGAACTCGCAAGCATTGTAGCACATCACCAGGGTACGCCTCCAAATGCAGGTAGTAGACCTCAACGCGAGGCAATATGCCGATGCGCAACTGAAGCTCTGTCGCCAACCTCTCTACAAGGAGGGGATCGAACGGATAATTTATGTTGACCTCATTCATCTTTGCTTCGGCTATAGGGGAATACCGAGCTTCATGTGCCCAGTCCGATGAGGCGCATGCACCCGTGATTATTGATCGTCACATGTCTCCACCGGATTTGAAGCATACTCTCCAGCAAATTTAGAGCCCTGAGGAGCGTGTCTAACATTCTACCCTTATATCGTCAACCACCAAGTAAGCTCTTCACTTAAGGCTCACCTCACGCCTTCACTTCAAATACGTTTGGCCCAATTCTCCCACACTAACGAGCCAACGCATTATAGTTGCAGTTGTCAATCCTCGCACCTCAACGGTGTCTATCAACGTTGAAGGCTTTTGACATTCCAACTGAACTACTTACGCATGTATCCATTGAGAGGTAGTTAGTCAAGCCAACTTGCGTGACACTGCTGTTAGCTTGCACCGCTTTTGGTGATGCTACTACTGTTAAGGTTGAGTTGTGGACCAATTTTGTGGCACGAATTGCAGATAGGTTAACATCTTCAACAACGTAGGAGATCCAAGGGTTTGGAGACAGGGTTGAGGTTAAAAATGCTACTGTTATTAGGTTCGGTGTCTCATTGCTTTCTGTACCTCACGTCTTCCAAGTGTTTTGTAGGTCAGCTAATAGACCATTCGAGTGGCAATCACAGACAGGGTAATTTCCTGACCCTAGGTCTTCAAATTGTCTGTTGCTGTTTCTTCCGAGCTCCCCATCCTGCTGTTGTTAAGCAAGGTGGTGAAGGTTCGCTAAGCATACCGCCCTCTCCCCAGCTTCTCAAGCGCCTTAGCAACCCAATGGAGATATCCTGACCTTCTCTCCCACTTGCAGATGAGTACTTAATAAATGCCTTGAACTTTAGTTCCTCCTCCTGCCAAAAAGTATGCAGAGTACAGGAAAGTGTACTCCGCCTTCCTACATCCCCACAATTTGTGTCATGTTGCAGTCTTTCAATGGGATGGGATGGGATGCAGTCCCGCATGAGCGACTCTAACCCGTCATGTTGCAAGGCATTACGCCGCGGTATATTGCTCACCCCATCAAGTTCATCACTCCTGACTGTTGGTGGGTAAGTAACTCCCACTATCTGCACCACTTAAACTGCGTCTCTAGCTTTCAACTCTGCGAGACACATATTACCAAGGAGGTCCTTTGTTGTCGCCAGCGGAAGAAAGTAAGCAACAGAGATGCGCAAATACGTTGGGACAAAATAATGCGCAATTAGAGGAGTGATGTGTTATCCTTGACTGTAGTGCTTTGATGGAAACAAAGTTGGTGAATTTTGAATAATATCGGCTTCGCTCATGGAAGGCTAATACCATGTCCTTTACTTTTTAGGCACTTGTGTCCTTGACTGGGTGCAGGCCAAGGTCGTACATCATCCGCCATGGAGATGCCTCAAACTCAGAAGTCTCTCCTCATCGTTTGAGGAAAG